CAACACTCAGCCCTGCAAGTGTGGCACGCAGCATCTGACTGTGCTCTGTTCACCTGGTAGCAGAGAGCAAAGCACAAAGCTGCCTCAGTTCCTCTGAGGAATCTGCTCTTTCTATGGGATTCATTCAGTCTCCATTAATTTCACAGCTGTTAGACTGGACAAAGCTTTCAAAACATAAATCCAACAAAATCCATGTTTACCTTCTGATTTTGAAGAGTGGTAGAACCACACAACCCTTTTAAAATTTCTGAATATTAAGTCCAGTAGTACTTAAACCCCAAAACAACAACACACATTTGCTTCTATGAACACAAAAGATTAAAAGATGCCAACCAGTCTGTAAGAAGCTAGGCCACAGAAGGACTTTGCTACTAGGTAAGCATGGAACGGAGCAACAGCGTGGTGCTAACTCCAGACCTGGTGGAGGCAAGTTCTGGTTAGCACATACTTGGTAATTCATCCAGACAAAAATTCCCAGTGTGGCAAACTGTGTAAATAAGCAACTGTGTGTACATGTATCACCAGTCAAAGATCACCCTAAGTTATGGGACAGATGGCATCTGCCACCACCAAAGCCCTCCCCCAAACAGTTAAGCCACTGTGACAAGAACTTGAAATAAGATAATGATGTTACTATTGTATGAGTTATCTCAGACTGAGGAAGAGGTTAACAAAGCAGGGGGAGAAGAATGTATCACTGAAAATGGACACAAAGAATGCAGAATTTATGGGCCACAAGGAAAGCCAACTCAGCACTTGTGCTGAAATCAGGTCTGACTGAGTAAAAATTAATTCTGGCAGGGGGAGATTTAAACCACCCACAACTCAAGAAACCCACTGACCCAAAAGAAAAGACTGAGCATGTGAACAAATTAGTATTAGAAGTGAGGCAATCATTTAACCAATAGAATATGAGAACTGTATAGCCAATCATTAAGTCCTTTCTCTGCTAAGACATATATTGAAAAGTTTTGAATGACCTCAGGACCTCCATCACTGAGAAGCCACGGGTGAAAAAGGACCAGAGGGATGTAATTTATTCCACAGGTGGTGAGTAGCTTCTACTTGATCTTTCTCTCCCCCGCTCCTCTTTCCCATTTCTATCTCTCTACCTCAAATTTATTATTAAATAAAATCCATACTATTGACTTGGACACTTGGTCTCATTTGCACCTTAATTTGGGCAGAGTTTCTCACAGCTGCAATATATTTCCACAGATGATTCAAGTCTACTAGGAAATACACAAAGTAAACAACTAGCTGAAAAAATAAAGAGGCAGTGCTTTAGGGAAAACAAAATGAATTACGCAGTTAGTTAGTTACCTTTTTTTCTTTTGTTCCAGGATCTGATTCACTGAATTTTTCTTCCTGAAAGCTTCTAGTCATCTTCATTTTCTCCACACTCTGAAAAAAGGCTGTTTTTTCTAGTCTGCTTGTGCTGAATCGTGCATTAATCTCTTCCAGCCTGTTAATCTTAAGTAGCTTCATACTATGTCCAGTTAATTTACTGTCTGTTCTCCTCTCCACCTTAGATTCATAAACCAGTGAACACTCGTAACTTCTGATTTCTCCTCTTTCTTGGCTGTACAAAAGAAAGACAAATAAGAGGTCTTAGTGTTATTCATGCATTTTGACTTAGAAAATTACCACATTGCAAGATTTTATATTTCAACTCTTTCTCCTTATATTTGCTGAACTAATACACAGAGCATATGCAGGCATTGCCTGTTCACAGAGACCACTCTGCACTGAATAGCAGATAATTCAAGAGGCTACAAGACCAATAGAATTTAATTTGTTCATAGAAACTATTTAGCTCAATGAAATCAATACCTACTGCTGTTGCTGCAGACCTTGCTCATGGAGCACTCCTTGCTTTTTTAGCCACCTCAGTGGTTCCCTGCTGCTCAACATGTTCTCTTTCCTGTTGCAGCTCCAGCAAGTTGATATGCAAGGACCCTGCTATTAAGTCCAGAAAGATTTTTAGATACTAAAGATTTTTAGATACTAAACACAGTAGTACAGGCATGAACACAGTCCTTTTCTCTCTTTTCCCACTATCCTGCACCACAAGAATAGGTAGTTGCCAAAATGGTGGCAATTTCTGGCCTTCTGTTGAAGGCTGCAGTGGAGCACAGTCCTCAGCTGGGTTTTCCTCCACTTCAGGCCCTTGTGATGCATCTGGAACATACAGAATGTAGGATCATCAAGGCTTGTCTAATGGTAGGATTGGGTGGAAGGCCACCATAAGTCAAGCCGTCTCTGTAGAAGGCTTTTATTCCACAGTGAGGCTGTGGGCTCCCATCTCAAGTAATTACTTGTCTACACTTGGAATAATGTCCTTCTGAACAACTAATTTATTTTAAAAGAGAAAGAGAAACTACTCTAAAATTTTAGCATCTCTTTCAACACCCAGGAAATAGAAGACCAAAGCATTTCTCTTGCTGCTATTGCAAACCTTCCTTCACTGTACTGGAAACGCAGCTACAAAAAAACAGTGCTAATGCCTTAGCTCTAGAAAGCTGAATCCATTAAACCTCATTATGCAGCTCATAGTTTTCAATTTAACTTGCATAAATACCATAAATTATATGGTGTAATTAAGGACTTATATACAACCTTACACTAACTGGCAGCACAGAGAAACAGCTTTCAATGTACAACCAAAGACCCAATTAAATCAGTTATTTTTACTCAAACCCCTTCCAAAAAATGTTCCTCAGTGTTTTGACCCCACATCTGTGCACATGCAGCAGATTAAATGTGTGCCTATACCAAGTAACTGCTCTGCCCACAGTCAGCCCTCCAAGCTTCCTGGATATGAAAGATGCCACATGCTATCCTGTATGACACAGGAGATGGTCGGATAGTGCAGACATTTAAAGGTGATGGACAGCACAGAACCACATAAGCTTGTAGTTTTCAAATGAGCCTTCCAGAGAGATTCCTGCTGTCATGTTGCTGTTGATTGTGCTGTAAATATGGGAGGTGCAGGCACACCATCACAGCCCTATAAGGCATTTGTCATCTGAAGAAGTCGTGCATCCAGTATATAAAAATGTCCAGTCTGCTGCTTCTAGCATCTCTCACCAACTTTCACAGCTCTGACATCCCTCCTTTTCCATTGCCATCAGCTAAAAGAAAACTTTATGAGATTTCCTTCTGTCATTTCTCAAAAGCAGATTTGTGGATTTTCTTAAAGGCTCTGACAATTGCAGGTGAAATACCCAACGGCTCAGTCTGACCTTTGAATATTATTCTACGGATTGTTTGATCTACTCCACCAAGGGATGATAAGACTTAATTGAAAGCTGTCAGAAGAAAAGGGGAGATGTTTCCAGATGCCCTCCTGCTACTTCCATGTCTGCAGCTACTCAAATCCCACAGTGATTTAGAGTGACCTGGCTGTGAAGACCTTGTGGCCTGACAGGACTGCAACCAAGGAAAGCTGATTCAGGCTCTCCATAGCTCTTCAAAGAGCACAACATCCTCTATGCTTTGATCACCAAATGTGGCATCTATCTAATGAGAATGACATGGCCTAATTAAAGGACATGTTTCTTCAAGCTTACCAGTGAGTCAGTTATCTGGGAAAATATTAATGGGATGGCAAGCTCAAATGTTTCACTGGGCTCTGTTACCAAGCAGAGACTAGGATTGAGTCCAAACATGATTGTCCTCTCCACCATTATCATCTTAATACTTCCCTGAAACAAAAAGCTGAGCAAAAGAAAGTGAAATTTGTTTGCAAGTGTCTCCTCTGAAGTCCCAAAGAAGGAATCTCACCCTGGTCATGCACCAGTAAGCAATGGGAAACTATGACCTTCACATGATGTGAAGCTCCATTTCCCCCAAACGAGGGTGAAAACCTTCTCCCAGTCATTTACATTTCCCAGCTCTGGCCTGGAGATACTTTCTTCTATTTTCTGGGTCATCTTCAGCAAGCCAGTGGCTCACGTCAAGCAAATTATCTTGCCTCCTGAGCAACATCTTCATTTACACACTCAGAGACCACACATATCATAAAAGCACTGCTTAGCTGTAAGCACGTGTAGTGCATCCCTATGGTCCTGCTCTGTTTTTCTGTCCTATAGCAGAAAATCAATATATTTGCATTATAAAAATATTAATATAGTAAATGTTTCTAAAACTGATTAGGAGTAGAAATGGGTAGGCAAATAGGTATTAGATGAGAAGTAGAATTCACAAACACGCCATTTCACTTTCAGCATCTGGGTTTAGATTGTAATCCCTTCAGTCAAAACTAAGTTTACATGATAGGCTGTAAAGGGCTTTGCTTCAAACTCAGTCCTTTGGTCTCCATCATCAGTTCAAATAAAAATTTTATTTCTGACCTGTTGGCCACTTTTTAACCAGCCATTTTCAAATTTTAAGCCTGAGGGTACTGTTAGCCAGTAGCCAGACTTGTTTACCTCCTAATACAGCTGACATTAGACTGACCTGAATTTTACAAGCTGGGAACTATTATGTCACAGTGTATAATTAAACCTAAACATATACTTTAAGAAAGAAAACAAGATGTAATGTGGAAAGAATTACCAATGGGTCAAGTTCGGGTCGTAAATTAGGATGCGGATAGTACCGCTTACTGCGCCCATCTTTGAAAACCAACCTGCCCTGTATTCTGCATAATACAAGAGTTCGGTTTTGAATTTGGTTTTTTTTAAAAAAAATAGTAATATATTGATGGTTTTTCCACAGAGAATGCCGTTTTCACATATTTCAATGAAGGACCAGGCGGACGGCCAAGTCCGGAGCCCTCGGCGAGGTTGCTCAGCACGGTTCGGAGGGCCAGGAAAGCCTGGCTGCTGGGGCGGGGAGGGGCCCGGGCGGACTACAGCTCCCGAAGGGCTGCGGGCGGCTCCGCTTCCTGCCCCGGCCGCCCATGGAGCCGGCGGAGGGCGCCGAGGAGGAGCGGCTGGTGCAGTGACCCGTGTGCCAGCTGCAGCTGCCGGGCGCCAGCATCAACGCGCACCTGGACGGCTNAGCCCTTGGCCGAGCGGCTGCGGCCGAACACGCTGGGCGACTACGTGGGGCAGGAGCGGGTGCTGGGGGCGCAGACCCTGCTGCGGTCCCTGCTGGAGTCCCACGAAATCCCCTCCCTCATCCTCTGGGGGCCGCCGGGCTGCGGGAAGGTGAGTGCGGGCAGCGAGCGCCCGGCCCCGCTCCCAGCCTGCGGGGTCGGGCCGGCGCTGCTTCACGTGGCTCTTGGGGCCGGTGAACATTAGAACCTGTTGATTCCGGACTCGCTTTTTTCTTCGCCCCTCTGTCTTCTTGGTTTCTTCTGTAGTTCCCTTATTTTGGCTGATGTCCTCTAGTTTTCACTTAAGATTACAAAAACACGGCCTGCCTCGTGAATCAAATAGAATTGGTCCACCCCCATCAGCCCCGCTCAGTGCAGTTCGCACTTTGGTTTCACAAGGCCTCTCTTGCTTTCACATAATTCAGATTTCATAACTCCAAAGTCCATACCTAAAACACAAGCCGTGGTTTTAGTTAATGGCTGAGAAGCTGAAAAAAAGCAACAACACGTAAATATGTCTAGGAAACAAAGTGAGATCCCAGCAAATTAATACAGAACAGTTTGCAAGGGCTAAGTTTGCTTTACCCTACAAAATCGTGCCCCTGAGAGAAGGCAGCACTGGTGTGGAAGGGAGATGGCCTATTGTGCTCATCCACCTTCAAACACTTCTAGGCTGGTGGGTCTTTGCAGGATCTGACCATTGCATTTTCTTCTGCCTTCTTTAGCATGCCAGGGGCCATCGTGAATCCCAAAAGACTCTCTAGCACTGCTGTGAAGGAATTCAGAGATTGAGGGAAGGACCAAAGGAATGCCTCAGGTGTGGTCAGGCACTCTTTAAGATCTCACCTTAATTTTGTCCTCTTATTCCACATATTTCAGATCTGTGGTGTGGCAGGGCAAATAAAATGCAATTTTCTTTGTCAGTCTAATGTGTTCACAGCATTAAGTTCCACACATCATATATAATTTGATGTGCTGGCTGTATGAGAGTATGTTTGAGAAATCTGGGTAGGGGAAGTGATTAATGCTTAGCAGAAAAGTTAAGGACAGAGCAGCAGCTTGCTCTTGTCAGCATATTTAATTGAAAATAAAAAAGACATGTGATGTATGGTATTTGAATAATAATGCCAGTCAATCACAGTAAATAAGGGGTAGGCGTTAGAATTCGATTAATAATACCATTAGCAATGATGCAGTAGGTTGTTTAGGCTAGATAACTTAACACCTCAAGAGAGCTAACTAGTGAACTTCAGTGATTGCCACTTCCTTTAAAATAATAAAGTAATAAAGCAAGAGCTCAGAATAGATGGTGTAAAGAAGGTCTGTTTCTGAAAGCAAAGCATTTCTGAAAACTGATTAAAGGGTAGGTGGCCTACTTGACTGAGGCAAGATGGCCAGAGGGAGAAGTGGAATTCAGTTCTTCATTAAATAGGAATTCTCCTTGCTGAATGAGTAACACATTCAGGGGCTTGCTTCTATACACATTTTTGTGGTCTCCTGCCTTTTGTTTCTTGTTATCTCTGTCAACAGAGATAAAGCATGTGCTTGCTCTTGACGCCCTCATTGCTCAGGAAGAAAAGTTGTACAAGTATCATGGTAGCAAAGCAAAGGCTGCAGTACAGCCTCTGTGCAAACTGGCACTGGCTTCAGTGGCCTTTGGGTTGTGATCTGATGAATGCACCTGGCTTTCACCATGGAAGTGCTTTTTCATGGGCTTGTGACAGCTCAGGAGCAGTTGTGTTCCAGGTCTTCTTTCGGAGCCTTCCGTGGTACTGAAAGTGTCTTTGAGTAACTGGTGATCTCTTTTGTGCCTCTAATATCACAGCTTTCACTCTTCTTTCATATGACCCATCTTCCTCACCCATGTGCTTTATGCAGATTTGTATTTAGTAAGTTTGCTTTTCACAGTTTAAATTCTGTTGCTGCTCAGTTGTCCGACTTGCATCATTTCTGTGCCTTTTGACCCATCAAAGAAGAGTTCCACAACTTATCTGTTATATTTTTACTCCCTAAGTACTTATACTGTTGAGTAACTCATCTACTTTCTAGGTTATTTCTTCTCAACAAAGAGTTTTGACTCTATGTCCTTTCAGCTGGCTCCTGATGAAACATCCATTATTGGCTGAACCAGAAATTCCTTCTGCAGAAAATTGAACTTTGCCCTATCATCCATGTTTATCAGTATTTCTAGGATGGTGCTAGAGTATAGTTTTCTCTCAGGCCTTCTTCCCCATAAATAATATTTTCTGTCTGAGTTAAATATCTGAAAATTCTGTTATTTTCTTGGATATATCCTTATAAAATCCCTCATCTAACAGATTTAACATGCAAGCAAAGTAATCTGCCTAAAGATGGAAAAGGAAATCTGTTCTTGCCTGCCTATCCTGTTCACTTACTATTTGAGTTGTATGTGTACAATGTGTCTAAGAAAACATTTAATGAGAAACCAACTTAATGCTTGAAAACTTGAAAGATCCTGTAGAGGGGAAGTAAGTATTCTCACTGCCTCAGGACCTGGTTGGACTGATCAGCAAAAACTTCTTCCATTAAGTACAGTCCTTTTTAGCAGGAAAGACTAATAAATAACTGTGTAGTTATTTGTATGCCTTTATGTATTTTATATATGTAGTTTCGTATGTAACAAGGCCATATGCTAAGCTCTGCCCATCAAAGACCTAAAATAGCAGCATAATTAGATACCTTGATCTAAATTCAGAAGTGCTGTGTAAGATGGTCATACATTTCTTAAACCTCTTCAGGCTCTTGCTACTCATGGAATCTGGTTATTGCAGCCCATCTATGCCTTCTTCCATTTCTACAGCCAAATGCAATGCTAACTGATACTTTTGAAAAGGATAGAGCAGGACTAAGTAAAAAAAAAAAAAACAACAAAAACAACAGAACTGAACATGGAATAAATTATCAAACCCAAATTTCAAATAAATTTATGTATTATTTTTCAGTCTGGACCTTTATGAAAAATAGTAGTTCAACAGACTTTTTCTAAGCAGGAAGAAAATAATCTTGCTTGTTAAAGTGCTATAAAATATAATATTTCATATTGTACATCAAGAGTATTTTTGGAGAATTTTTATCATGAGAACAATAAAGCTAGGTACTAGAATAGAAATATGTGTGCTATGTAACTGTTCTGCCCAAGTCAATTTTGGCCTCAGCTGCACTTGAATATTCAAGGAAACATCCTCAAAACTGAAAAGACAAAATTGAATATTTCCATTTTGATCCACTTTTGAGTTTCCATCTGTATGGAGTCCTCTTACTTTAAAGGAGCATGATCTTTGTTCCTTGAATCTGTCATCCTAATGTCTTAGGAAGCCAAGGTGCTCTGGGTGAAAAGAATTTGACTTTTTGTTTGCACTTCTGTCACTATGAAGTGTTGTACACAAGAACCTATTTTCTTCTTTTAAGAAGCTGACCAGACTCATGCCAGAAGAAACACTGCCTTAAAGAGATGCCGTGGTTATTAACTTAGGAACAGTTAGCTTGTTCATCCTGACTATGCAAATTTTTAAAGGCCTATATGAATCTGAGTGTAATGTGAGTAAGCTGTAAGCTGATTTATGGCACCTTAATACAGGGATTTAGATTTTTGCATGTCTGCCATTGGGGAACCAATTTTAGTAAAGAGTTAGCAGGGGGACACAGCGTAACTTGAGCACCGAATAATTTTGCTGCCACAGATGAAGTTTAAGCCTTATAAACCTGAACATTCTGTATTTAAATACAGTAAACATTGCCTCTTATGTCTGCTGCTTAACAAGAAAAAAATGGGTAGCAAGTGGCATGAACCTGCTCCTTACAGAAGAGAAAGAGCATTCATGCATGATTTTCTGAGGTTCATGTTTGCACAATAGGATAAAATATGCAATCTTGGTATGAGTGCAAAACATTAAAAACCCCAGTAATTGGTCTTTCAAGTTTCTATCAAAGTCTTCTCTGACATAATATTTTATTTCTAGAACTCCCTTGTATTTATTTTCTTTGTTTGCATTCAATAAATGACACATTGAAACACAGACAGCAAGTCCAACACCTATTTCAGTGCCCACACATTTATCACTGTTTCCGTCCAGTGCTTGCTATTTTGCTAATTTGAGTGGTTACCTAACAGGCTGTTTGATTTCTTGAGTGTATTTGGTGAATAATGGTTCTTCTCTAATTCATACATCTTGGGGCCTGATTTGAACCATTTGAAGTGATGAGTTCTTTCAATTGATTAGCATGATATTTTCAACTGAAAATGCATCATGTCTTTTACAGTAGTGTAAACTGAAAGCCCAGGACAGCTCTGAAAAATGTGGTTGTCTTTGCAGTTGCCTGGGAGCAGTGTTGTAATGAGGTGTTCTTGGTTTTGCTTATACCAATATAAATCAGGAATAAACTGGGGTAGCTCTAGGAACAGAACGCTGGAAAAGAAAATACAATTGTATCCATAAAACAGTTGGAATGTAAGTACACAGATCTTGATACAGCAAATGGAGATACAGATCCATTTTGACAAACATTATGCAATGACCTTGCATCTGTTTATGCTTGGTTGGGCTTGGATTCTGGAAGTGCTGTAAAGCACATGCTGTGTCTCTTGTTCAGAGGCACTTACTCCTCCAGTAGTATCTCAGTGGGCTATTTGGGGTTTGAAGAACCAAACAAGATGGGTAAGAATAGCATCTGCCCTTATATAAATGCCAACTGCAGCTACTTTTGATTGTGTTTATCTGTATAGACAGTGTCCCCAGGCCATGTTCGCCTGCTATGCTGCCAATTTCCTTTAGACACGGCCTGGCTTATCTCCTGTGACGCAGTGTGGTACAGAGAACATCCACAGAGCTACGTCCCAGAGAACTGCTGCCATATGTGGCATCCAAGGATGCTGTTGGTGTCTCCCTCGAGGCAGTGAAACAGAGCACGGCCTTTCCTGATTTCTTGGCAAGCACAGTATGGCCCTGCTGCCAGCAAAAGGAAGGTTGAGGGTGAGGGGAGGCCATTGATGGCAACAGCAGGTAAACAAAGATTTGGAAATCCTGGCCAGAATGAAGGAAGAGTGAAAAATAGCCAGAAAGTCATGGTCAAACAGCAGCAAAGAAAATCAAGGTGCTAGTTCAGCACTGATAACATAGCTTAGACCCTACAGGTCGGTAGGTGTAACTAGCCTGTTGTGTTTTGCACTAAGCTTATCAGTCTCATGTCATCTCTGCCACAAACATAATTCACACTGTGGTTTGTTCTGGAACAAACCAGCAAAGTCAATTGTTGGGGAAACCTACGTGCCAACTAGATTATCCCTGCTCAAGAATAATCCATGCTGCACTGCACTTGTGCCAGTCTCTGCCAGGTCGGCTTTGGTCATCTAAACGTGGCCCAGCAGAGCCTACAGCCTTCCAGACTTTCTGGGAGAACCGTGAATATTGGAGGTATCTTAGGTTTCAGAGTATTCTTGATATGATCTAACCCTATAAGCTAGTCCCTTCCCAGTTTTTTCCAGTTCCACTTTCTGAAGTGAGCTGGGCAGGACCACTCTTCCTTCCTGTAAGGAGCTTTGGTGAGCTCATGTGATAAGCATAGTTTAATGGCCTGGTACAGGGCTGCAAAAACGAAAAAGACTACCTTCTGAGCAGCTAATGTGGTCATCAAACATCAGCATCAGTAAGACTGCCTTAAACTGTACGAGCTTTTTACTGTTTTCTTCCAGCCGTGGAAGTGAGGTAGTATTGACTAATGGCAGTGCAGAGAGGAGTAAAATAGTTCACACTTAAAGAGTGTTGCCCAGTCAAGGAAACTTCTGGGTATACAGAAAATTCTTGTCTCCTAGTACAAACACCCAGTTTACCAAACAGCAAATCTCCTAGACTTTTCTGCTCTGACAGTGGGAGGTGTGTGGAGCAGAGCATACTTTGTGGGTTGCTTTTGTTTCATCCATACCTTGTATCAAAGCCTGGCAGAACAGGTAGCATAGTTGCTGAGAGTGCGCTTGTTTGGTTGGGGGTTTTCGGTTTTGTTTTGTTGCTGGTTGTTTGTAAACCTTGAGACAGTTTCAGCCTCTGGATAGTCTCATTTGGACTGACACAAAGCAATAGGTACAGGATGGTGAAGAAGAGTTTCAGTAGCTAAGTGTTCTGTGTGCAATGGGTCTGGAAATAAATGGGCCATGGGCTGAAGTGTTATTCTTCGGTGAATAATGGTTCAGAAGTTTCCTGGTGAGTATATTTATGTTTCAGAGCAGGTTTTTATGATGTCACTGCTTTAGCTCGTCTAAACAGGTAGGTCAGTAAGGTCTCACAATATTCAGCATAAAAGCTGAGATAATAGGTATGAGTTTGAATAGTTTGGCATCATAGTAGAAGAGGAATTAAGAATGGTTTCTGGAAGGAGCAAGGATATTACACTGTGAGCTTTATAAGGTGTAGTTTTTAGTGAAGCTAGCAAAGGGTTAGTTTGCAGGATCACTGGATCACTCCTATTCTTAGTTTGTGGGAAACAATATTCCTGCTCCTGCCCATAAGGAAAAAAACCATGACCTAAATAAGAAGCACATGTATAATGAAAGGAACACATTATCCACATTATCAACTTGGTTGGATTTCTTTTTTTTGCCTGTTATGCAGGTTCTCTTTCAGGGGTACTCACTCATAGTAAATTGCAACATCAGTGTCATTATTTTAAAAGATCTGTTTTCCAATGTAAGAATCAAACTTAAAAAATTATTTTAGATGATGAAGGATAATCAGTATTCTGTCTTCTTCTATATCAAATTTCTGATTTTATTCTTGTTCCTCAAAGACATTGCCCCTGAGGGAAACCAGGATTCTAGCATATGAGTTTCAGTTGTTCTGTGCTAGTGTGTTCATACTTAAGCTACTTTGCTTGTGTGAATCCTTCACTAGGTTATGTGTTCTGTTAGGCTGTAACCTGAAGTAGCAAAGAGGTAGAAAACTGTAGCTTGTTACTGACTTTCACATGAGATGGCAGGACAAAAAGCAGAATAAAAAAGCCTCAACTCATGGTAAGTAAGTCTTCCAGAGGACCCGGGAAAGTTTTACATCTGTATGACAGGCAGTTTGACTTGCTGAATGATTGATTGTGCAGAACAGAAGGAAGAGGCTGTGAACATGCCTGTCGTTGTCAAGCATTGCATTTGAAAGGCAATGTATGTTATTCTTATTGCAACCTTTGGTGACCCACAAGTTGGCAGAGAGGGAGAGGTATGTGCTGGCTGAGATCCCTGTAGCAGATTTCAAGTAGATTCTTGGTCTAACAGTAACTTTCAAACAAATTTCTTTGATTTTTTTTTTTTTTCCCTAAACTAGAGTTAGAAATATGGACTCCCGTGCATGTGTTTAAAACAAAGTCCTTACTGCTTTTTTTGTAAATAACAAAACTCTCTGAGTGACAGCCAGGGTATAATGTGGGCTACCAGTCCAAGTGGAGCTACAAGAAGAATAGCTACTTTATCTTTTTCCTTTGTTCTGTCACCACTGCCACTTTTAGAGAAGGAACAAGTACATTTTTCCATTTTCATCCTCAGATTTGATGTACTGCGTGTTTCTGTGCTTTCAGAGATTTATAAGGCATGGGTATATCCTCTGAAGTTACATTCTGAACCAAAGCCCTTTTATAAGGAAACATGAGTATTGCTTTTAATTTGGTAGCTCACTTTCAAATATAGTTTTTATTTTGGTTTTGGTGGGGCGGGGGTGGAATTTGCTTATTTTCTCAGATCTTCCTAATATCTGTAGGCTTTGCTGCAAACACTTTCCAAATGTCTTTCCAGTCTTGTCCTCTTCAATGATACAACTTGGGGATGGGCTGGTGGATTGAGCTCCAGGAAGCAAGGGAGGATATGACATGGGATGCGAGTCTTGTATCAGGACCTGAAATGACGCCTCTTCTGAAGGCAATCAGGAAGCCTTCACTAAAACTAAAGCACAAATAATTAATAATACATCCTTCTCCTTAGCCTCCCATTTTCTAACTTCAGCTGGTTGTGGTTTCAGGGACAAGGAGATCCATTAAAGGGATAGAGCAGGGTACTGCAACACCACTGGTAGCCAAGTGGTAGGTGCTTGTTTCTGCAGCCTCCCTGCAAGAGGATCAGGTTGACACCACCTGCTGCTTTAACCTCAGCACTTAGAATATCTTCTGAGGTGGTTTTGTTGGCACCTGTCCCACCCCTCATCTGCTGAGGCTTTCCTGTCTTTGGTCTCCTTTGGATTCTTCTCTAATAGAGTAATGAGCTTGATGGAAGAATAATCTGTTTTCTTCAGCAGTACTTTGAAATAGAGATATGCTCTTTTTGGGCATGCAACTAAGGATTGTAAAGGAAAGTCTCAAAATCACATCTGTGATACGTTCAGGTGTAGTAAATCTACCCAGGAGGTTGGTAGACATTGCTTCTGTGCTTTGGTAGGCTAAGTGAAATTATCTGTAAATAAATTTGGATTTGAAGAGATTGTTCATAAGGACAGAAGAACAACATAGCTGCTTACTAAAACCAGCCAGTTTGTTCAGTCAGCTGCCTTTTGTTTCCCTGGGCCACCATTTGATTACTGTTGACTATTTAGATTTAAAAGTTACATTTTCTTAAGCTGGCATGTAATTTTTCAATACTAATGTCATGCTTTTGTAGAAACTGCTATCTGATTAATTTCATTTTTATATGTATTTGAAATATAAAAGGGTTTATTTAATAACATTGAAGCTTTTTATTTCTCACACACAGTTGCGCTGTAAACTCTTAGGCAGGTGTCTTGGGGTAGTCCAGCTCTTTATCCATTAGCATACTACACAAAATAACTGCACAGGGAATTGCAGTCAGCCCGTCTTCTGTGACAGAAATGTATTTGGCAGAGAGATCTTCTTCCCTGACAAAGGAGACAGCTGTCAATGCTGTCCTTTTCAGTACTGAGGCTCACTGGGTCTGGTACGTAAAAGTGCAGGCATTAGAAATGCAGCAGAGGAATTGGCAGCTACCTCTAGCAGGAAGTTTTTAAGTCTTCTGTGCCCTAGAACAATGTGAGCTAAAATGCCTTAACTCTGTGAACTGTCAACACTGTCCCTTTGTCCAAAATGTACAGCTTTTTTCTTTACATATTTCCTTTAAACTGGTACTTTCTGTGTCTGAAATGATTTTTACGAAGCTTTCTCCTATTGCTGTTTCAGACTACACTGGCACACATCATAGCCAACAGCAGCAAAAAGAATGGCATGAGGTTTGTGACACTGTCAGCCACAAGTGCTAAGACAAATGATGTTCGAGATGTCATCAGCCAAGCCCAGAATGAAAAAAGACTCTTCAAGAGAAAAACTATCCTCTTTATTGATGAGATCCATCGTTTCAATAAATCTCAGCAGGTATTGTACTACAGTGCTTTTTTAAAAGAGCCTTAGTCAGCACTTCTGTAAAATCTCCCACTTTGCCTTAAGGTGATACCTTCCTTTGGCCTTTTGATTTCCATGTTAATACTTTCAGTACATGAATTTTGGAGAAACATAAAAATTAAATACCTTAATTAAACACCTAAATACCTATTATCTTCCAACCAACATTTAAGTATTGTGATTCAAAGCTTTAAATAAAAGGCTGAGTTATAGTCTAGTCTAGTGCTAGTCTTAATATGATAATTTTATGAAGTAGTATTACTGCAGAGTCATGTTAGTAATGTTTGCTGCACACATCTTCATTTCAGCCTCCATCTGGGGGGTAGCATTCTGTATTACCTTTACAAAGGTCTGGAATGTGAATGTGCCAAAGGTGGGTATTTTAGTGTTGTCCTCTCTTCTGTGTGAGAAAAAATAAGTCATGGCATGGTACTTTGGGATTAGGCAGGGAATTGTAGTCCTAAAGGTTGATTCAAAGTGTATTTAGGAGCAGCCTCCTATTTGTTATACTTGATAAGGCAATTTCATGATTTCTTGTGTTGCCATGCAATAAACCAAAGTCACACAAATCCCAAATTTGCAAATTTCTTTACCCTATTTCTTTTCAGCTGGTAGGGTTATTCTCAGTGCAGTCATTTATTATTAAGGCATTGGGTGCGTGAAATTAAATAATTTCCATATCTGTGCATGAACTGCCTTGTCAGTGTGGTTATTTGTCATATCAACAGGGAACCCAAAGCCTCACAAGACGCAAAAAAAATGTATCCTACTCACATGGGGTGTTTCAGGTTGTCATTGATCGAGATCAACTTTTTCTGCTTCCCTCCCATGCTCAGGACACTTTCCTTCCTCACGTCGAGTGTGGGACGGTGACCCTGATAGGAGCAACCACAGAAAACCCTTCCTTCCAAGTCAACGCCGCTCTCCTGAGCCGCTGCCGGGTGATCGTCCTGGAGAAGCTCTCGGTTGAAGCGATGGAGGCAATTCTGATGAGGGCTGTCAGGTCCTTAGGGCTCCAGGTTTTGGGCCAGGGTGACCAGCACGGCACCCCTGCGACTGGCAGCAGCAGCAAGAGCTCGGAGTGAGTACTTTATGGGCTGCAGGGTGTTAACGTGCGCAGCCCGAGGAGCTGACTGCCTGCCAGGGAGAGAATGAAGCAGTTGGGGGGTGGGAAGAGAAACCCTAGCCACTTCTGATAGTAAAGAAAAGAAGTGGCAGCATATGGCGGGGGCGGGGGGTGACAGGAGAGAGAGAATTCAAAGCATTGGCTCTCTCCATCCAAAACATAATCTCACCATCTGGATTAGGGGAGAATTTTATACTTGGATCCATAACTCCTGACTCACCCTGTCACGGTATTTAAATCTGTTCTGCTGCTGAAGATTTGCTGTGGAAGCCTGTAACTGGGTTTTTGTCATGTCCTAATGTGTGTTACTCCTTGCTACTGGTTGTAAAAGCATCACATTACCGTTAAGTGCTGGATGGGGTATCCCCTCTTAATTTGGAAGTGCCTGCCAGAAGTTTGTTGTTTTCTGAGAATTTATTTTTAATAAGATCAGAGAGGATGCTGCTGCTTCTGTTCTTTAGTTGCAGGATAAGTCCTGTGCTATGTTTTAGGATATCCTGTGACAAGAGGAGGTTGTTGCTGTGAGATGTTAATAGATTGTTTCAAGAGAGACTTTGTTTTTCTCTGTTCCTTGATGTCCAAACAGATCAATTCATATTGAACACTTATGAGTAAGTTTTGGAAAAAACAACATCCAGATTTGTCTACAAGGGATGTTACCTGCCTTCTGAAACAGGAGGCTGGCAAATAAGAGTAATGCGTGGTACTGTGGTACTCACATGCAAGCTATTACACTTCTTTTGTTTTGGCTCTTGGCTCCACTCCTAGTAATTTACAGTGCATTGACACGGTGGTGATTGACAGACTGTATGAAATAAATGAGAGGGAATCCACTTGAACTTTATCACAGAATGTAAGCACAAAGAATTGCCAGCCTGAATGCTGAGGTCAGGACAGGTAAGGAATGGTATTCCTTTTTTATTTTTAGGCTACCTTGACTCATGGTTTACTCATTTGTAGCTTTTATGTGTTGTAGTAATGTGAATTTTAGAAGAGAAGGCAGTACTGCATGTCAGCATTAATGTAACGGCACAGCTGTGGCTGTGGCTACACCCTGACTGGGGTTCAGAGACTTTTCTTTCTGTACAGGATTAAAGTACAAGGCATAGTTTCAGCTGCAGTTGTTTGGGTTTGGGTTTCGCTGGGCTCTCCATGTCTGTAACCTTCCAATAGCTATGGATGATTTAAACAGCACGGTGCTTCATCAAACTGAAAGAAGTTTGGCAGGCAGACTGTCAGACTAACACAGTTTCAGAAATCTCTCCCTGGGGAGAGAAGGCCACACTCCAAAAGCAGGTATGGGAGCCAAGCATTTAAAAATAAAAATGGGGTTTTGAATTGAGGAGGGTTTGTTGCTGTTATGTGTCAGGTCTTTCTTCTTTCATGATGCTGGGCCACAGTTCCTACATTCTGTTGCTAATAAGTTCAGATTTTTACAAGCCATCCTGTCCCTTACTGTGGTTCTGATTTGGATTCCTCATTAATTCCTGCTTCTTGCTTCAGTGTCCATACCATTGCTGCTTCTCCACTGCTCTGCAGGAGCAGCTGTCTGAGCTTTTTTACCCCCTTGCCTCTAAGGAGTAGGACTGTCATTAGATGCAGGCAGGTAACTGTTCATGCTGTCCTGAAAAATAAATGGAAATAACCAACTATAATTGTTTTGGTGGTTAATGGTGTTCACCTTTATTCCAGAGTGAGAAAAGGAGCTGTAATGCAGCACATCCCTAAACGGTGGTGTGTACCCACTTTGGAAATGCTGCAGAGATTTAGCAAGAAGGCACAAGAGATGTGTGCATTGAAGTTTGCATTTCATTTCCCATGTGAATCTCCCTTTCCAAGCCACAGCAATGTAGTATGAAGTACTGCATGTGCTGCTTGACCTCAGTTAATCAGATGGTTTTAATATCACATCACTTGTCTGAGAGGATGGCTTACCTAAAAGAGATTTTGAAGAGGATGATTCTTTGTGGTCTCTCCTGTTACCTTGAGGAACAGGGTAAGGGTGAATCTTCCTTAGTCTTTACAGGCATCTTCCATTCTCAGCAAGAATGCAGCCATTCCCAAGTGATTAAATGGTTTTCATCATCTGCACTCCACAAGGAAAGTGTGCTCTACCCAAATCTGTTTCCTTAGATTTTCTTTGTGGATTTTTCTTATCTTGCTTCCACCATTGCTGCAGTTTTCTGATAAAGTTAGATCGCCTGGATTCTCTTTCACTCCGATGGGGCCTTTTCTTGCTCTAAAGCTGGAACAACTAGCAGTGGGTATTACTTCTTGGATGTCTTTCTATTTGGTGTGTCATTGTGGGTCACAAAGGTTCTTTGGCAGCTTTCATATTAATTACTGGATTTCTTTAGAATAATATGTGCTTTTTGTCATATTTTCATCAGCATTACCCTCATCAAACTGTGCCTCAAAGTCTTCAGTAAATCAAGCTGAAAGATGGAGAAACAGGAAAGGAAGAAACATGATGAAGAAAAGTAGGAAGTCAATGTTAAAGATGTTTCTTATTGCTGCAACTGCTTGTGCTTTCTGCAGTTTATGCTGTGTCAGTAATAGCACAAGCTCTTCCAGGTGTGCAGTGATACACTACACTTATACAATGTGGTAGAAGAAACCATATTCTTCGTTTGGCTTTTTATTTTTGTCACTCAAGTGCTGCCCTCGGAATGGTATCTCTAATTGAAGTCAGACAGTAAATTGGATGGTTGATTAATGTGTTTGAAGCTAGATAGCACAGAAGGCACACAGCTGAGGGAAATGGAAGGAACCCCAGTTTCCTGTTGGCAAGCCCAGACGTCATGCAGTTCAGCTTGTTATTGGCTGTATTACAAGTTCTGGCATGTTTTGAATTCACTGGTTCATAAATCACAACACTGAAGGTGGAATTCCTTTGGATCTTTGGTGTTTAATACTTCATTGAAAATTATTCCTGAATTGGAATATCCATTCAAGTTCCTTGCAGGAAATGAGTTGCTGAGGTGAGAGGCAGCACTGGAAGACAGTGCTGTAGGGCAGTGAGCAGTGCATATCACACTGCAGTAGTTCAGCTGAAGAACTGTGTTTGCCTGTAAAAGTGTTGCAATCTGCCATGGAGCGAATATAGTGAGAAAAACTGCATTGAGAAAGAAAGAAAGTACTGATTTATATGGGAAACAAGCAGTGGGTGCTTCATCTCATGTTTTGCTTAGTAATTTTTCAAATCTGATCATACAGGTTCTCCTTGCTTGGGCTTCCTTATATTTACTCCTTGATCTTCTTTGTGCTCTCTTGTCATTGGTTCAAATGCTGCAGTGCTGTGTGGGTTTAATGGGTAGTTCATTATACATTTCATGTCGGTTCTTGGCACAAACTGTCTCGAGTGTGTGGTGAAAAAGAGGAACTGGAAGAAGGATTTATTATCCTGTAGAGGTAGTTTTCCATTCCTTGAGCTAATATATCGTCTTCAGCCCAGGGAGTGATGGATCCCAGCACGTCCCTTTTGGCTTGTTTATGTTTTTGTCTCCAAGTATCATTGGTGACATGGTGCCAACATTGACCATTGGCATCCAGTGGGTGTTCAATGTTAATTTTGGAAGTTGAATAAAATATGGGATTGCCCATCTGCAAGAGTATTAGGAGCTTGGAAAGAAGTCAGAAAGCATGGGAGTTATTCTGCCTTGTGGATCTGATGGGTGCAGAAGTTGTCTAAAATGGGAGGGGGTAGGACACTTGAACTTCTGAAGACAGGATGGGCTTAAAAATGTAAAACACAGCAAGTGGTTTTTGGAAGCCAAGGTATTGAAATAATTGCCATCAGGATTTTGAAATTAGACTCCTGCCTAGTAAAGTGAAATCATCAAGAAATAGAATTTAAGATCTTAATTGCTCAGAACAAAAATCTTAATTTAGTTATTCTGAGTATAAGATTTTATAATTTTGAAATAGTGTGTATGGAGCTGAGATTATGCAATAGGGAAGCATTATGTAATTTCCAGTCAGTGATTCTCATCAATGTGCTGTGCAAACAGCTTGTATATGGAAGCTTTCTCCATTTTTTCTTGTTCTCTATCACATCCTGCATGTCATGCTATTGTAGTCATGGACTGGATCAGCCAATACATAATGCATTATTTGGATTGGAATTGCTGTTACCCTTACGTTACACTGAAAATTCACCATGGAAATGGACAAAGCCATTGCTTGTAACCAGATTTTTCATACTTTCTCGTGAATATTTGTTTCACTTTCTGTAATACACATTGCTTATGTTGAGTCAACAGTGCAGTTAGAGTCCTGTAGTGAAATGAGAGAGGAATACAACTCAGCTTCAAATTAGCAAAAGTGGTCTGAGGCCTAAACTTTTCTTGGGAAAAACTGTACTTAGCTTCTTCCAAGGTAGTACCTGCCTTTTAGTGCTCTTAATGCTTCCCCTCTGCTTGCAGTCACTGCCTGCATTTGTGGTATCAGTATGAGGAGGCCTCAAGCACAGGATGTGCTTCTCTGCAAGCAGCAGGCAAAGATCTTAGTCCTTGAAGGCAAAACTTTCTCTCAAGTATGCCCTGCTGGTGTGTGAGAAGTGTTTGCTCAGCATGTTATATATTTGGGGTCATTTCTGTTGAAGGCGGTATTAGCCGCAGAAAGTCTGTGTGTAGTGCCTGCTGGCTTTTTAAAAAGTGCTTTTGCTTTCCTTGCTGGATTTTTTAATTGCTTATGAAAGATTTGGTGCCCATCTGTAGTGCTTAGGGGTGAATGTTGCTTCTTGATTTTCAGGGAATTTGATGCTTGACATAATTGACTGTCAATTGACATAAGTCCCTGTGCAGTTGTATTGTTTTGCTTCCTTGTTCAAAGATGGTTGAAACACCTTGGCAAAAGTGCCACTGTATGTGTGTTAATTTTTTTTTCTAGATTCATCAAATATGTGAGAGATAAGGAGATGGAAAAAAGTCATGATGGGATGCCTATGATGCATCTGTTTTTCCCAGGGCATGATTCCTACTGTCTACTCTCATGGGTTTTGCTCCTAGAAGACATTTGTCAGCTTTCACTTGCAGTGTTTGATTAAAATTGCACCTCTACTTGTTCTTCCTTTCTATGTGTGGCCATGAGAGGACTCAAATACTAACTGCTAAAATTTTTCCAGAACCTGCAGTCTTTTTCTTTTGTGTGACAAGTGCAAAATGGGTTTGCAAGGAGGAAGAGAAGGCAAGTAATGAAAATCAGTGGACACTTCTTTCTGGGAGCCCTGACGCTGCCTTTTTGTACACTTCTGGTAGTAATAATAACACATCTTTTGGTAAATGAAGTGCAGGGCTGTTGTGAATCCTTAATTATTTGTCACACAAGAGATTCATAAGAAATGGCCTCTCACACCAAACTCTTACGTGCTAATCCTTGCTGGTTCTTGTCACTCTTGATTTACAGTGCAGCTACTAGAAGTGGCTCAGTTCAGGCCATTAATGCCATATTTAACTCTATTATCTGCTGTCTCCAAAGAAGATCAGTTGCACCCTCTGCCTGGCAACACCTTGGATGTTACCTTGTCTACATAACTGAGGGTTAAATCCTCAACAGGGTGCCTGTGAAACATGCAGTGGTGAACTGGTTTGGATGTGCCCCAACGGTGAGAACTGCAGCCTAGCAGATGGAAACCTAAAGACAGAACTTGAGGACTTTGTTGTTCTCACAGATTTTCCATGGACTCACTAGGAATCTCAGGAGATCCAGTTGCTGCATTTCTCAGGTCTTCCCATCTTCATAGAATCACTGAATATTCTGAGCTGGAAGGGACCCACAAGGATCATTAAGTGCATCTCTTAAGTGGCATATACAGGGATTGATGTTACCAACACTATGCTCCAATCATCTGAGCTAATCTCAGTGATTTGTTCATTTAGATGGTGATTTAACTGCAATTTGGCCTTTTTCATGTGTTGGTATAATTCTGGCACACTTAGAGCAGTAGATGGCAAGAAGAGTGATGGGCATGTATTGGGATGCAGTTTCTTTCTAGTAAGATTTTTTTTGTACCCCAATGACTAAATTGTAGTACCAAAAAAGTAGGGTGCATGTGTTTTACATTGTAAACAGTCTTTCCAGTTGTTTTTTTAAAGAGCAACTGATAGCACCTCTTACTGTTGTTAGTAGTTAGTTCAAAACCTTATGCTAATTACTTTATAACTCACTGTATTCTCTCACCTGTATATGGATAGCTTCCTGTCTTTTCACTGTTCTTCCACCAAGAAATTTGAAGTGCTAGCAGTGAAATGCTTATGGAGTAAAACCTTAAGAAGTTTAGCTGTCTGTGTTAGAATTGGGCTGTGGCTAAAACCTAACCCTAGTTTTTGTTTGGTTTAATGAGGTAAGGAAAAATAAGGGGGTTAAACAGATGAGAGCTCCTGCCTTGTATTTTTCATGTGCAATTGTATTTAGCAGGCATTAGAGCAGGAGTAAGAGGGTCAGCCCCAGGCTCTGCAGGATGAGTAAAGGCAAGTCTTAAACCCAGCTGCATATCAAGAAACTTCATAAAGAAATGACACCTCCAGCATAACGGGGTGTGATGGGTTCTATTCTGTTGCAGATTCCCGGTGTACATAGAGGAGAAAGCTCTGAACACACTTGCCTATCTTTGCGATGGAGATGCCAGGACTGGGCTGAATGGACTCCAGCTGGCAGTTCAGGCCAGAGTGGCAGCGGGAAGGACCACTCCTTTGAACACCACCAAAGGTGGTGCTGCAGATGGCATTCTGATAACAGAAGAGCATGTAAAGGAGGGGCTCCAGCGATCTCACATCCTGTATGACCGAGCTGGTGAGTAACAGATGCATTCCTGAGACACAGTGTTCTCAAGATGTGATAGCCTCCCTGATTTCTCTTCCTTCTTTTTCTTCTACCACCTGCTCTACTGAAACAGTGGTTGTACTGAAGTCTGTCCTAAAAGTTATTTTTCCTCTACAATGTAGTTCAGCTGGGAATTCCTTCTCAACCAGGAATTCTAGATTAGCTGAAGGACCTGTTTGCTGTCCTCAAAACAGTTGCATTGTTATTTAACGTTACATTGTCTTCAGTGAGGATTTCAGTGTAAAGAGGCAGAAGAATTTGTTGAGAACATTTTTCTAGAAGGTTGGATATCTTTCACTGCACTTCTACTCCTTTGAAAGTCTTGGAAGTGCTCACATTCACAGCAGTATGTTATGTCAAAACCTGAGCAGTTTGCTTTATTTTTAGAGTTGCTTTTTAAGGTAATGAATTCTGTAGCTTGCTTAGGGCAGTCCACATAAATCTCATTGCACTTAATGCTTCCTAGTGTGATAACCACTCTAGCTAAATTTGTGACTTGGCTGTCATAGGCAATCACAATAGTTGGCCACTAAACCATTTTATGTTAGAGGGTTAAAAATCAGTGAGTATCATAGCTTAGGCAAATCCCCTTGAATGCCTATGCTAGTTCTTCAGCAATACTTGAATGACCATGAAGAATAGTATGAATGAAATTATTATGCCAAGCAGTAGAACTGATTTACTTTTTTTTTTTTTGGCCACTGTTTCTGATGTACTCCATTAACTGCTGCTGTTCAAAACCTTTGATGAGAGGTTTCTTGAGGTTGGTTGTAACATACGCCTGCTTGCAGCCTTCTTGCTACAAAGAAGTAATGATGACTCACTGTCAGGAAGAAGGCAGCTGGGCAGATACTGATCTAATAGCAGCTGAGAAGTCGAGGGTAGGCAGAGAGAGGGAGAAGAAAATTTTTATGGGGTCTGTGTCAGGAAGAGGTCATGATTAGAAGGAAGTGGAAAATCTGACCAATTCGCTGGTGTGAGTATCTTGCACCCTGTAGGTCCCTTGTGTGTTTGCTGTCGCCTGGTGGCCACTGTCACACAGAACTCTTGGCTGTGTCTGTTGCTCCCAGCCCTCCTACACCTTCTTGCTCTGGTAGAGATGGCACAGAGAGCCTCTTCCTGAGGCTTGCATCAAGTCTGGGTGGTATGTGTCAGGCCCTTCTCTGCTGCAGAAATCTTTGCTGTCATTTATTGTGGGGCTTTTTGGCCAGAGATTTTCAGACGGGTGAAAGCAGATAAAACTGTGTTTTTCTGGATTATATAAAAATCCAGAAAAAATAATCTGACACAGATATTGTCACAATAGCAGGTTGCCCAAGTACATGCTTTACAGAATTTCTTCTGTGCAAGTCTGACCACTGACTGTTGGCTGCAGGTTGACCACTTCTGTCCATATTAGAGATAGTCGTTTGTCCTTTTAAATACAGAGGAATCCCAGATAGCAGCTACTGCATAAACAATTTTTTTTTTTGTAGCATGTTTTAAGTAACACATTTTGAATCACAGCTGTGGTGGTGGAATCTACAATCCTCTAAAATAAAATGCTTCAGTCTTTTAAATTGGAGGGTCCAATCATGAAAGCAGCAACATACATTTGAGTGTTGCATGTTCATGTAGAAAGCACCAAATAATTGATTAGTGTTTAGAGTTGTGTAAATATGGACTTAATTTTACATTATTTTTTGGTTACCTTCTGCAAAATTTGCTCAATGCATGTAGTTGGGCATTCTCTTCTCTTCAAGTAATCTAGAAAGGAAATCATTCATAATGCAGTTGTTAGGTTGTTGTTTTGATCTGTGTGCAGACATGTAAAGGAAAGGGTCTTTGGTGCAGAAAGTTTATGCATTTTAGCTGGAAGGACAGAGAAATAATTTTAATCCAATTTTACTGCCAGCAGCTGCCTGAAGCCCTTGCTGTGTGAGAGAAACAAAAAGTATTTAGTCATATTTTATCTTTTAATTGCAGTTGTTAAAATTTTGAAAATTTTAGAAAATTATGGAGCAACCACATTCTTTAAAGTTCACTTGCAGATGGCCAGTGAGTAGATCTTTTAAATAAAGTTGTATTGTTTCCCCCTCCTTTTACATATTGTATGACTCTGCTAACACTAATTTAATAAGATAAATGTCAGTAATTTCATTGTCTGTGTAGCAACATCAGTTATGGTAAAGGCTGGCAATGTGTTGAGCTGAATTTAATTTATTCTGCAATTTGGAGCAGTGTTTCCCTTCTCTGGAGGAGAAAAGAGAAGGTGTCTGACTGTCTAGGGCTTGCTGTTGGAGCAGAGCTTAGAGCCATGTGGGCAGGGATAATTTACCTTTCCATACCATGCACTTCATTGCTGGGGTAGGGGAGTGGTTTGTTTGGAGTTTAATTTCCAGCTGGTTAAGCCACCATACTCACAGCATGTTTTTTCCCATCTCAGTTTTGTTCTGCTGTATCAGAACAAGAAGACTTTTTATCCATACTGTTGCTCTAGTCTTACTTCCAATGCTTTCCTCTGTCTCTTCTCAAGGAGCAGTTGATGTTTACTTTTGGCTAAGAGAAAAAAATTATGTGAGATGGGGACTGTGATTTTACTTGTGCCCACTACCTTGTGACCAGGGAATGTTTAAGAAGCCCAAATATTAGTTATGGTTAGCGAAGGAGACTTTTTCCCTATCTTCTAGCAACATGACTTTAGATAAATCAGCATGTTAAACTAGCCTGAGAACTTCTCATGAGCACATGAAGCAATCAGCAAGATGTATGCATCTATATATGTCAGACACGAGAAAGCCTTCTCTTCCACAAAGCCTCCTGTGTAGTATCTTGTTTCAGAAGGATAGAACTGCACAGAGAAAATGTATTTTGATTCAAAAACTCTTCATAGTTTCAATTTCAAGAGGTATCTGGGATATAGCAGACATAGATAAGTTGGTATGTGTCTGTCTCTCAACTGAATAGTTAAGGCCCAAACCTGTATGTTAGCTAACCAGTAGGAGAAAGCTAATAAATAAAATTCTACTAAAAGTTCTAATTTTTTTTTAAACTGCTTTTGGTATCTCAGGCTATCTATAAACTGTATTTTTAGACAGAAATGTAAGACCTCTCTCCAGTGCGCATCACTGGGTTTTGTCTTTAATTGATAAAGCAATTCTGATGTATAAGTATTGTCATTGTAGCTCTGTCACCAACACTAACTTTGTAAGGAAGGAAATAAAAGGAGAAAACTAATTCCCTTCTCAAATGAAGCCTGAAGTTACCTGCAGTTTTATATATCTAGACCAAACATATCCACTGGATTCCTTCTGCCTCTCCAGCTGGTATCCCCATGTATGACACTTTACAGTAGCCCAAACAGCATATAAAAGCCTCCAGCAGAAAAATCTGGGTGAGTGAAACCTCTGCATATTTAAAGGCCATCTTCCTAGCTTTTAAGAGACCAAGAGACGCCTCTTGCCAAGAGGATGATGCGAGTTCAGCTGCTTTGGGTTTATTGCTCCTGACTCAAGTGTTAGGATGGAGCATGGACATGCTGTTTGTGTTGGCTCAAGTGAGGGCTGCATACCAGGGCTCTTTGTGTGGAGTCCTAGCAAAAATAGCTGTCTGACTGCCTGTGCTTGCCAGCAGCGTGTTGAATTCCCCACAGAATCATACTCCAGGAACTGAGATGGAGGGAATGGACCTAAGAGGTGGAGGTCTTGCTGGCTACAAAAGGAGCAACTGCAGTAGCATGATGATTTTGTTTCTCAAACTCACTGGGGCAGGCCTTTTATTTTTCAGAGCCTACAAGTGACTGGGGTGTTCTGATGTGGCCCTCAGGCTGTAAATCCTTTTAGCCTTAGGAAGAAGAGGAGTATTAACAGATGGCTGTGCATGCAGGCAGTTGCCTTTAAAATACATACTTAGCTGAGAGCCAAGAAATGCCAGGCACTTGAAAAAATAAAAAAGGCAGATAACATGGAAAGTTTAACCATATTGCAGCAAAATACTCTTACAGGTTTGATTAAAAGACATGCATAAGAATCAAAAGCAGTTGCACAGAGGAAAATTGTACACAGGAAGGGTCTTATTTAGTGCTTGTAATACTGACTCCCTATTTTTAAGTGTAGCCCTAGAAGATCTGTGGAATAGCTTTATTTCTTCCTGGAGTCCAAATCTAATCATATATTAAATTTCAATATTAAAAAAAAAAAAAAAAATCATTGTAATTCTTTCAGTCTTCCTATTTTTTACTTAGAAGTCTGGCATTTCAAGTGTTGTTGCAGTAGTGCAGGTGTCCACAGTTGAACTCAGCATTTCTTAGGGGTTTGCCAGGGTTGTGCACTACAATTCTGTTTTTTACAAATGGTATGATGTTCCATCATTCTATATTCATGGCATTTCCTCTTTTCTCCCCCCTATACAGCGCATCAAACTTGTGTTTTACTGCACACTTCATTGTCAAGTTTTAGATGATGTGAAGTGTCTTTCATCTAAAATATCACTACTGTATAGCACTGGATTTCTCTGATTCTTGTGTTGTCTTCTCAGAGCTCTGTGTGTGTCCAAAGGCAGTGATCAGTTGTTTGTATGTGCTTGTACTGTATTCTTTGGCAATTATAAGCTATTTATGTGGAGTTTTCTGCTTAAAATACCTGGAGTTAACCTTTTTTTTTTTGTCTTTTGAAGGTAAGGCTAACTGTTAGGTTAAAAAAAACCCAAATTGTTTGCCTAGCAATGTTAAAAAAACCCAAAAAACTTCTTTTCATCAGCAGTTGCTCTGTTTTGCTTATGTAATTAGGGAATGATTCACATAGGAAACCATGCAGACACTGAAAACATTAATGAATACTGCAACCACATACCCATATAAAGAACTTGAAAAAGCAGCTTATGTTTACTGATGTGATCTAGTAAAATACATTCTATTCCCTTAAATGCATTTCACTTAATTTCCTCCTAACAGCTTTGTGTATTGCTTCTCCCCCATCCTAAATAGGAGAAGAGCATTACAACTGCATCTCTGCCCTGCACAAGTCCATGAGAGGCTCTGATGAAAATGCCTCCCTTTACTGGCTTGCTCGAATGCTTGAAGGTGGTGAGGATCCACTCTATGTGGCAAGGAGGTTGGTGAGGTTTGCAAGTGAAGATATAGGTCAGTATTTGCAGTATTCCACATTGGAATATCACATTGAATGAAGATCTGCCAGGCTTCTCTGGTTTCTAAAAGTTGTCTTTTGAAAAGAAACAAACCCAAAAGAGTTACAGGCAAAGTAGGTACAAAATACTGAAATACTTCACATGCAACAAAAACTCTGTATATGCATGCAGAAACCTACATGAGTTTGTTATCATTGTGATGATAACCTATTTCAGGAAAGACAAATATTTTTGAGGTCAGGTTTTGTGTGTATTAATATGCATTCTTTTAAACCCTGCTTCTTGTAGGTCACCAGTAAACTTGTGCAACAGAGAGTATGTATTACAGGACTGTTAGGTTAAAAAAAACCCAAATTGTTTGCCTAGCAATGTTAAAAAAACCCAAAAAACTTCTTATCATCAGTAGTTGCTCTGTTTCGCTTATGTAATTAGGGAATGATTCACACAGGAAACCATGCAGACACTGAAAACATTAATGAATACTGCAACCACATACCCATATAAAGAACTTGAAAAAGCAGCTTATGTTTACTGATGTGATCTAGTAAAATACATTCTATTCCCTTAAATGCATTTCACTTAATTTCCTCCTAACAGCTTTGTGTATTGCTTCTCCCCTAAATAGGAGAAGAGCATTACAACTGCATCTCTGCCCTGCACAAGTCCATGAGAGGCTCTGATGAAAATGCCTCCCTTTACTGGCTTGCTCGAATGCTTGAAGGTGGTGAGGATCCACTCTATGTGGCAAGGAGGTTGGTGAGGTTTGCAAGTGAAGATATAGGTCAGTATTTGCAGTATTCCACATTGGAATATCACATTGAATGAAGATCTGCCAGTCCTACAGAAAGGGATCAGATAAATGCAAGCTAAAGTAAATTTAGTCTATTTAATGTCTCTCTTTTGTTTTTTTTTCATTTTATATTTTCTTCTCCTGTAAAGTATCCATGCACATTTCAGAGCTGCTTTCTCATACATAGGAATTCCTGGTACAATACCATATCATACATAAGATCCACTCCCTCCATCCACATGTTTTTCTTTCTAAGCCATGAGTACAATTTATAAACTGAATCTGCTGCCACACAGTGGCAGCCTGAGCAGTAGCTGACCACATATGACTCTCCTATTTTTTTAAATGGATAAAGAAATGGGGAAATATTGCTACACAGAAATAGCTTTCCCAGATCTCCTAACTCTTCACCCATCATATATGTGCTAAAAGTGTTGCTGGATCTTCTACCTAGGATAAGTAAATAAAGATGCCTTACGGCTAGGGACCCAGCTACCAAACCTGAGGTTTGCAGGTCTGGGTGGACATTCACATGCCAGACACATTAAAAAATCTGACATCCCTGTAATACATACTCTCTGTTGCACAAGTTTACTGGTGACCTACAAGAAGCAGGGTTTAAAAGAATGCATATTAATACACACAAAACCTGACCTCAA